GTATTTTCTTAACTGTGTTTTCTTGATATCTAGGACATTAAAAAAAAAACATATATTCATTGACTAGATGAATCATTATAGCAATTAGATCTCTAAACTAAACATCGGGTTTCATATTATAATAAAGATTTGTTTTCATTTTTGTACTTATTTACATGAAAATATTTATTGCATAATTAAATTTAATCTTATTTAATGTACTTATATGCAGATATCATGACTCATTTGAAAACAGAAATTAATCCTAGTCTCCCTGATAATAGTAAGGATTTTGGCAGCTAGATTTCCCTCATGTTTATCTTGCTTATTGACGTTTATCTTTTTTTTTTTTTTTGCGGTACGCGGGCCTCTCACTGTTGTGGCCTCTCCCGTTGCGGCGCACAGGATCCGGACGCGCAGGCTCAGCGGCCATGGCTCACGGGCCTAGCCGCTCCGCGGCATGTGGGATCCTCCCGGACCAGGGCACGAACCCACGTCCCCTGCATCGGCAGGCGGACTCTCAACCACTGTGCCACCAGGGAAGCCCTCGATGTTTATCTTGAACTTCATCGTCATATTCACCACCCTAGCCTTTCATTTATTTGGTCTCTACAACTTTGATAACTTGCTTTTCCACACCCTTATAGTGTCCGCTCACATTGCCACACCCTGGACTTATATATACTCTTCCCCTGAAATCAGTATTCATTTCATTAGTATTCAAAAATACAAATCAGTATTCAAAAATTCATTTCATTTTTTAAAACGTGTCCTACTGCTGTTTCCCTTAGTTATTCTTGTTTCCACTTTTTTCTGATGTAATCGAGGCCTCCAGTTCATCATCCCTCTCAGTCCCCCTCTCCTCAACCTGATGCTGGTTTCAGTCTCCTCTATGCAGGGTAGATTCCATAGGGTGTCATTTGATTCTCCCACTAGCCCAATTCTTAATATCCGTCACATTCTTCTTCTATTATATTTGATAAAAGCCAACTTTGGAGACTTCCACATCCTTTTATGCCCATATACCTGGCATGTCAATTGCGGTGAGAAGGAAATTACAAAACTGGCCAAATACCATTATAAATCCATCAGCCCCACCCACAAGTTGGTTCCGATCATTGCCAGGCAATCTTAAAATGTTTCCCTTACTCCACACTTCTCCTAGGTGACTATTTCAAACACTACTCTCATATTGTATTGTACTGTATTGTATTCTCTATTCTATTATCAGCCACAAGAAAACAAGATCTGGTGTTAGTGTCCTGGGGAGGGTGATTTCCATATACCTGTTGACTAAATTCTTCACAGATACTTTGTGAATGTTTTCCATGGCAGGTAGAACTGTATCGTGAATATCTTCTGCACACATTAATTGTCACCAGACCACGGACAGGCTTTCCATATGTGTATCTGTAACAGTAAAGAGTCATACAAAAAATACTTAACATAAACAACTCAGATGTTCTTCACAGGATTTGATCCATTCATATACCCATCTTACTCATTGACAGCAATTGTATTTCCTTCCAAAGCATTTGTACTTTAGAAGCACTTATTCTGAAACTGCGTCTTAATTATCTACAACTCTAAGAGAAAATACTTACTGAATACTGAAATACTTTTTGAAACTCCTCCAAATGGAAAAGTAACAATGCAGTTTTCTCTCAGATCTTTCTTCCCTCTCAGCTGAAGTTTTACTTCAGCTGAGAGGGAAGAAAGATCTGAGAAAAAACTGCCTTATTTCCTTCTTTCTCTGCTGTCAGATTATCTAGGTTATGATTCTACCTTTGCCAATACCTCCTAAGTTGTTTTAGGAAAAAAATTAGGGAAGCATACACAGTGTATTTCTAAGTCCTCCCTAACTCACGTATATTTTAAGAGGATAAATGAGGAATTAAATGGGAAAGCACTAGCTATAGAACAAAAACATTATAAGTGAACAGTATCATGATGACAGTCGGATTCTGCCAAATATGATGGAGAGATGTGATGTGGTATGGTCTGAATATTTATGTCCCCCCCAAATTCACTTGTTGAAATTCTAAACCCCAAAAGATGATAGTATTAGGAGGTGAGGCCTTTGGGAGGAGGGTGAAGTTCTCATGAATGGGTTAGTGCCTTTATAAAAGAGGCTCCAGAGAGATCTCTTGTCCCTTCCTCCATGTAAGGACACAAGGAGAAGACACCAGTTATGAACCAGAAAGAGGACCTTCACCAGAACTTGACCATGTTGGCATCTTAATCTTGGATTTACCTGCCTCTAGAACTGTGAACAATAAATTTCTGTTGTTAATAAGCTCCCCAATCTGTGGTATTTTGTTATGGCAGCCTGAACAGACTAAGACATGATGTGAAGCTGAACTTAGTCTATTGTTTCTTAAAGTATGCTTCATGCACCACCCACATTGAAATTCCCTGAGATATGCAGTGATAGAGTCCCAAATACTTCCTCAGATTTATGATTGGAATCTCTAGAGGTGGAGCTGAGGAACCTACATTTTAACTAAAAACGTCCATAGATTCTGATGCAGACTTAGGTCAGAGACTTATTGCCCAAACTGTGAAGCCCCAAGCTTCCTCTTTTTATAGTCTCCCCCTCCAAAAAAAGTGCTGATAAAGTAATAAATTATTTACTAAATTTAATCACTTTTTTGAATCTTATCTTTAAATCTGAATCAAAAGCCTTTCCCTCTGATGGAAAAATTTATAGCATCAGAGCTGGTGAGAAGAATGAAAACATGTTTTATATGCTGTTTTTAGAAGCAAGAAGTACAATCAACCTCCTTGGTGCATGTAGGGGGTACTCTACTGCACTAAAAGGTAATCAGGGAAGAAATAAATGACATGTAGTTTTAATTCTACCTTATATATCCAGCCTTTAAGACAGAGGGTCTACGGAGCTTCTTTCTAGCTTTCCATAGTTTAAGAAATTGGGAACTATAAAAAAAATGGAGGTAATAGGACATGGAATAACATGGAATCTATGAGCATGGGCTCTAGAGTTGGATGACCCAGGTTCAATTTAGCCCAGTGTGTGGGATATAGAAATACAGAAATGCTTCATGAAGCTAGATTTTTTTTTTTTTTTTTTTTTTTACTTTCAGAGGCAATATAGAATAGTGGTGAAGAGTTCAGGGTCTGGAGTGGACTGTTGGATTTAAATTCCAGTCTTCTGGAATTTACTGTCTGTAGGAACTTGAACAAGTTATTTTATCCTTTATGTGTTGCAGTTTCCTCATTTGTAAAATGAGGATAATTATCCCCATCTCATAGGGTTAGTGTAAGAAAAAAAAATGTAAATAAGTGCAAGGCACTTAAAACATTGCCTGGCACATTTTAAGTGCTCAGTTAATAATTTTATTATTAGCAGTAAAATTGTTGTATGCCACCACCCCTGCTCCCTAGTCTGAGTTCAGACAAGTTGGGGAGAGAGTCATTCCTTCGCTAATTAAAATACTTCAAAGTCCAGTGATCATTATGGGCAATACAAATAAAGTAGGGAAAAAGAAATGAGGTGAAAAAAATGTAACTCACAGACTGCAGACGGATACCACAAATTCATCATCTAGAAAACCAATAGTCTTGGGCATTTTCACTTGGACTTCAAATTTGGGCAAAACTGTTATCAATAAAAGAGAAAAAAAATGGTGAAAGTGGGCAGGAGGTCCTGTAAGCATTAGTAATGATTCTACTACAGAACCTTGTAACAAAGGGTCACATAAAGTGATTTCAACTACAATAAGGGGCAGCAGGGCCACTATTGGCAAAGGAGATGCCGTCATAACCGTGGGCAGTTGGTACCATGTTAACTTGGTTAAGCTGGTATCATGGTTCCTAGAATCTCCTTCGCTGAATTTGTCCAAGATTTCAAAGGTGGGAGGAAAGTAGCATCATTAGTCTCTGAAGATCCCCATGGTTAGATGCGGTTACAGGTACAGAGGGGCCAGCAGTTTCCAGTTTGTCCTTATTTTTTCCCTCTCTGTGTCCAGCTCTCTCCTTCCCAACTTCTAAACCCTGCTGACTCACAGAGACCCTAGGCCCACCATCAGCACCTGGTTATAGAAATATTGGAGTGGTAGGTAGGGAGAGGTAACAGTCTTCCATTGATTCTCCTGTCAGTTTCCCTTCGTGTTCCACTCTGGCATGTGAAGGTGCCCTTGTGAGTTCTGATCTGTCCATCCCCACCAATGCTTCAGGAGGACTGGTTAGTAATTTCCTCTGATCGACCATCTCCTCCTGTTGGACTCTGACTTTTCCAGCCTCTCTCATAGTTGTGTATAAGGCTTGTTATTTCTATAATGAATCCCTGTTCTATAATTCTCATGGCAGTTCTGGTGAGTTTTGGGAATCCTGTTTTTGTGATAGGTCTCCTTATCCATGGCATGATATATTTAACTTAAGTTAGAAAATCCGCATAACTGATAACTAATAAGATGGTTTCAATGTCTGATTACTATTATTAGAGTAGATTACATGTAGGTCACACAAAGCCAGGTTGTAATCCCAGGAAATACCTCCTGTTATAAGATATAGATCAAGAGATGCATGTAGATAACATAATGTACTGGTTAACAATCGACGTCTGAATAGGGTCAGATGGAACTATTAAAATTTCTCTTGCTTCTTGTTGGCTCTGTGATTTTGGTAAATTACTAACTTTTCTGGTATTAATATGTTTGTTTGTAAACTGGAGAAGGTATAGGATCTGCTTCAGAGGGCTACTTTAAGGATTAAATGAGATAGTGCATGAAACGAGCTTAGCAAATATTTAAATAAATAAAAAGCCTTGCTGATTTTCAACTATTATATGCTAGATTTTTGCTTGTCACCTACATGTAAAAATGATCCAATCTTTCATTGTCTAATGTCATAAATATCTTGGACACATGCAGAATTCTTACCATATTCATTCACCTCGAAAGAGTGCTCTATTTTTTTCCCTGACTCCTTCTGCAGTATGACCTTGTAGGGACCCAGCGTGGGCTCCACTGAGAGTGGGAAAGAGAGCTGGTTGAGTCCCCAGTGCAAATTGACACTGTGCCATTGGAAAATCCGGTTCTTCTTGGGACTCTATAGGTAAAAACATCACAAGTTCATAGAAGCAACTGAAATATATAATATTGAGTAGAGGAACAGCTTTTCAGGGAGAGTGACATTGGGAGGTGGATAATTAGCTGATTGGTAAATTGGCACCAGTGGTATTAGCAAAGGTTTCTAGGAATTCTAGACTGAGCAAAGGACATCTTTCCCAGCTATGAGATATGACAGCTGATAGCACCTCTTTTTGAGATTATGCATACCCATCTTGTTCAGAAATATTGGAAGAGCCACTAAATTGCATCATCTCAGGGAATTTTGTTCCTTCATTTATATCTTATCTGCTCTCCCCAGGATTTAAGAGAGACAGGGAAAACAGTGTTTTATTTAGTTCTGGTGAAGCGCCAGTGGGGAAGGTGGAGGTGGAGCGAGGCAAGTTAACACAACTAGGAGTGAGTCCTCATCCCAGCCGAGATACACAATACATTACCTACCTCAATATAGACCACTGGGAACTGAAAAGAAAGAAATAGTATGAGTGCGAGATAGAGTTTAGAAAGAGAACACCATGACATTAGCCTTAATACAGTACCGGGACCAGAGGAAGTAAGCCTGTTCACTTCTTGTCCAAAGGAGGAAATGTGGCTCCATTTCATTCTCAACACTTTATATGTTTAGTTTGGGACATACGCCTCTTAAGAAGTCATGGCTTCCCTTTAATGAGATAACGTACAACTGAGAAACCTACATTTAGGTGAAAAGGTCCTAATAATAGTTTACTTTGCAGACGATGTTAATCTCTGAGAAATTCTCCATTTCTCTAGGAGAGAAATGAAATGCATTTATTTTCTTCAGTTCAATGAAAATAACTGAGTCTTTAAGGGCATAATTTTAACTGAATATTTCATTTGTTTTAAAAATGTAGTTGATGAACTGATCTCCCTTATTCTTCAGCAGCGATACACTTTCGAGATCTTTCTGTGATAGATTTAAGAATCTCATGTTGGTCTCGGTTCTCCAAAAGAATAGGTTTTACGATTTTGCCAATCTTACCCACTGTTGTGACACTCACCATTTCATTCAAAGGGTGAAAATTGACATCCACAGAGACAATGCGGAATCTCACTGAAACACAGAGATTTTTCTCATGAAACCCTCCAGTGGGAACTCAGGGTGGTAAGACAGATAACAACGTGCCAGGATTTCCATAAATTAATAGAGAATGACACCTCCAACCCTTCAAATTGCTTTTCACTCATTTGGTTCTTTATACCTGTTTGTCCTGGTTTGTAGATGGGTTTGTCTGTCTGAACAAAGACAAGGCTTTCTGCTTTTGTTATGTGCATCCGCTTCCTCTTTATGAAGTGCTGGGTTGGCCCTTTCACCTGCACAGTGATGAACGCTGAGGAAGATGACGACTCCGGAATCTGTAAAACCGAAATGAGCTGAAGAATCTGCCCAGATCCACTTCTGAATGTCTCAGCCTTTGTGATTTTCTCATTTCTCTGGTTAGTCCCGTGAAAATTAGTAAGGGATAGGGTCAAAGGTGATGTCCCCTCTTTTTATAGATTATTATGATCGTGTAACATGACAGCAACGAATTGTTGATTTGACTAAAGGAAAAATGTCATTGCAATAAAATGAACTCATTCTTCAACTAGTTATGACAATGAAGGCAATAACAAGCTCACATTTTCAGGGCAATATGGTAGTATTAAAATAATTATTAAATTTTATTTTTCAATGGTCAAAAACAGCATTACATATTATTGTTGGCAGTAAGCTGGTATGATTAACTATTTAATACTTTAAGTTAATTAAAGGTTACAAGGACAATACATTAACCATCAACCATCTGCGAGATCTTAGAGAAGTCACTTAACTTTATGAATCTATGTGTTTATATCTGTAATGGCATGAACATTATTTTCCTTAGAAGTTTACTTTAAGAGCAAAGATAATAATGGTTATAAAAGTCCTTCCTATAACCATTATTATCTTTTGTATGTTGCACCAGTTCTGTTTGTAAATATTACGTAAGTATATTCAGTAGAACTTTTATTTTTAGACTCTAATTTGAAATTTGCTCTGTACTCCTCATTTTTTTCTTCCTTTTGCTTTTTTATTGTTGGGGGTCAGAATGCAAGGCATCAACTAACATGCTCTCTCTGTAATGCTCTCCCTTTTCCCAAGGAGGGATACTGACCATGAAGGAGCTGCAGTAGAAGGAGTGCTTGGCCCCCAGGTCTGTGAGGAGATTCCTGCTCTGCATCTCATACTCCAGAGTTACTGTCAGTTCCACTGACTCATTCAGGTGATTAAGCACGACACAGGCCTTCTCGGTAACGCCAGCATACAGCTGTGATGGGACCAGGACCAGGTACTGCCTGCGGAGAAGAGGGGTCTGGGTCAACCATGGAAGGGTTAAAAAGACATCATTACTGTGGTTGTTTTCTAGATGATCTTTGCTATCGTCACCAATCAGAGAGCAGAGCCAGATTTCAAGAGGAGTGGAGAGGAGTATATTCTTCAAAGACCAAACCAGAAGGCCTTAGAAACTCAGAAAACCCCTACCAAGTTAAACATCAGTATGCTTCTCCTATACTGTGGAAATATTCACTCTCGATATTAGTAAACCTATTCATAAGTTATGGATAAGCACTCCATGAGTTGTTATATATTTTGTATAGAAATAATTTTCAAATTTAGAAATTTTCAATGAATCAAGTAAATGTGATCATACACACGCATGCGCACGCACACATGCACACACACAAATATTATTCAGAAATCCTGCTGTTCATGACAACATGAATGGGCCTTGAGAGCATTATGCTAAGTGAAATGAACCAGATAGAGAAAGACAAATACTGATGGTATCTCTTACAACATGCGGAGTCTTTAAAAAAAAGTCAAACTCAGAGACACAGAGTAGAAAAATGGTTACCAGGGAATGGGAGATGGAGGAAAATAGGGATAGGTTGGTAAAAGGACACAAACTTTCATTTATAAGTTGAATAAGGTCTGTCTGAGGATGTACTATATAACATGGTGACTATAGTCGATAACATTGTATAATTGAAATTATATACTTGAAATTTGTTATGAGAACGTAACTTAAGTGTTCTCACCCCCCCCCAGATAAATATTTGAGAGATAGATGTGTTAGATTAATCGTTAGATTAATCTATGTGATAGATTAATTAAACTCAATGGGGAGAATCCTTTCACAATATGTATGTGTTGTACACTTTGAATATCTTACAATTTTAGTTCTCAGTTATATGTAAATAAACCCAGAAAAAACTTTCCATTTTTTTTAGTAACAAACAATATTATGAATCAGTTAATGATCACTGAAACCGGTGAGAAAACCTATCCACACGTGGCCTTGGGTTTCATATGGATGATATCGCAAACCTCTTGGTTCCAGGAAACATTAAGAGATAACGATAATACACGGAGGGGAGCTGAATCGTTTTTCACTACTGTTTCAGAAGCAACCTTAGCTCTTTTCTTTCTTCCACTCTCTAGAGACGGAAGAAAAACTAGGCTAATCAACAGACATATTACCACATACATGGTAATATACACGCAGAAGAAAACATTCTCCTGTGGCGGTTCGCCCATCGTTTACGATCACCCAAACGTGCTGCACTTCGTGATGTTCTGCTGGCCCGTGACTCTCTCTCTTTCTGGAGTGTCCTGGTCTAGCTGGAAAACTTCTATTGGCTTCATAAGACTCACCTCAAAAGCAACTTTCTTATGTGGACTTTGGTGATGCCCCTTCCCTTGTATCAGTTCCCATGAAGAGTTAGGTTATCTCTGAGTATTCTCACAGAATCCTACAATGCCTGGTTCTGTTTTTGCATTTTATTTCATTCGCTGTGCACCATCTCTCTATCTCTCTCTTTTTTATACTATGAGGTACTAAGGGCAGGGGCCACATTTTGTTAATCTGTATATTCTCAAATCTAATGCCAGCCCTTAAGGTTTGCTGAAGGATTGAGTGAAATGACACACAAACCCTGGCTTGTCTGTAAGTCATGCATCTATCTTGGGAATACCTGCTTGGGGAAGATACAGACACTGAGTCACTTTACAATGGCCAAGACACTGCAGCCTTTTGGACCAGTCAAAAACGAATTTATCTTTTCTTGGTAGGAATACTATATTCTTATTTGATGAATGTTGTAGAATTCTATAATCTTATTTGGTAAATGTTTCACAAATGTTACTGCCCTATATCTCTGAGTTTTCTAGAACTGGAGTATGCCTTTTACCACCTGTGCACTAACAATTTATCAACACTTCTGAGCTTTTTCAACAACAGATAATTTCAGACGGAATCAGGAAATAAGTAAAAAGACAAACATCAAGAAGCTGATAACACAATGGGAAGAGGAGGGCAATAGACTTTTCTGGAAATGTTGCTTACGGTTTGGAGGTAGCTGAAGCATCTCTGGGAAGGAGCAAGGAAAGCAGAATCAAGACTGGATTAGGCAGCTGACATCCCCTCATGGTGTAGAGAGGAATAGGAAAGAATGGGACTCTTGAGTCCTTGATTCCTTGAACTCTGTTCTTGTTTCAGAATCACTGGTTTTTATTTTGCCTAATGGGCAGTAAAAGTAAATGGCTAACCATTTATTTTTGTAACATATTAACTACTTCCAGTATAAAAAAATCAATTGCAGATCACTTTCATCCACTTGCTCAAATTTTCTAAGTGCCTGAAAAATAGTATGTTGAGGCTACATTAGCTCTGGTTCCTGCTCAAATATCTTGAAGAAAAAACAAAGTAAATGACATGATTTGATGAAATCAATCAATACTCTTGATCTTTTTCTTTTTTAACAAGAGCTATTTATGTAAATACATATCCCAAATCTCTTCTTGGTAGACCAGGGAGCATCACATATTCTCCCAAGCTTCATCCAATACAGTTATTTAATGAAACAAAGAAATAAAATTTATCACAGATTTTAAACAAAGTATGAAGATAATCTCTCCTTTGTTTAAAAGCTTAGCTTTTGCTTTTTACAACTATCCTTATATTTGTTTGTTTATAAAGAAAATGAACCCACGTAATGCATTTTTATAGTTTCTTAGTTCATTTAACATCTAGAATATAAAGCCAATAAATTTATTTTATCCTCTAAGGAAATAATCTTTATGTGATGAACATTCTTATTTATTTTACCGTGAGAAATATAAACATTTTATCCATAGTGATCATCATCCTATTTGCTTTTCTAAGGAGATGGGATGTTAGAATCTATTTTTATGGAATTCTGAAAATTAAAAAGATCCACACTATTACGTTAGTATAATTAGGACTCCACAAAATTCAAGTGTGTGTGTTTTGAATAGAGAGCTGGTTTAAACTATAAAATTCAATATGAGGAGAAACAAGCACTCCCCTGGATGAGGTATATTTAGTTCTTGACATACATTTTTGTATATGATCTGAAAGAGTGAGAAATGAAGATACCGTACATGACAGTCCTTAGTGAACTATAAAACTACAGATTTTTAAGATATTAAAATTCACTATTTACACTATTTACAATAGCCAGGACATGGAAGCAACCTAAATGTCCATCAACAGAGGAATGGATAAAGAAGATGTGGTACATATATACAGTGGAGTATTAGCCATAAAAAAGTAAATCATGCCATTTGCAGCAACATGGATAGACCTAGAGATTGTCATACTGAGTGAAGTAAGTCAGAGAAAGACAAATATCATACGATATCACTTATATGTGGAATCTAAAAAAATGGTACAAACGAACTTACAAAACAGAAATAGAGTCACAGCTGTAGAAAACAAACTTAAGGTTAAGGGGTGGGGGAGGGATAATTTGGGAGACTGGGACTGACATATACACACTACTATATATAAAATAGATAACTAATAAGAACCTGCCATATAGCACAGGGAACTCTACTCAGTACTCCATAATGACCTATATGGGAAAAAAATCTAAAAAAGAGTGGATATATGTATATGTATGACTGAATCACTTTGCTGTGCACATGAAACTAACACAACATTGTAAATCAACTAGACTCCAATAAAAATTAATTAAAAAATAAATAAAATGCCAATCATGATAATATTTATTTATTTTTTATTTATTTTTTATGGCTGCGTTGGGTCTTAATTGCAGCACGCAGGATCTTCGTTGAGGCATGTGGGCTCTTTGTTGTGGTGAGCGGGCTTCTCTCTAGTTGTGGTGTGCAGGTTTTCTCTTCTCTAGTTGTGGCGCGTGGGCTTCAGGGCGCGTGGGCTCTGTAGTTTGCAGCACACAGGCTCTAGTTGAGGCACAAGAGCTCAGTAGTTGCGGCATGCAGGCTTAGTTGCCCCGTGGGATCTTAATTCCCTGACTAGGGATCGAACCCATGTCGCCTGCAATCTAAGGCAGATTCTTTACCACTGGACCAGCAGGGAAGTCCCCCAATCATGATGATAGACTATGAGTGATATAATGCCAGGTCAGAGTAAAATGTAATAATACATTGTGCGAGCCCTTGGTAGTTGGTAAATGCTTGCTGAATGAATATAAAACTGTTCTGCTTCAATTTGGTTTCCTCTCATTAGAAACTTTATGCTCTCTCCACTTCCATCCTGCACTCCCACACTGCCATAAATAAATATCTTCATTCTCTGCCAGCTTAATATGGAATAAATTAACTTACAATAAATAATAAATGACTTTTAAGAAGTCTCTATGTTACTTTTCACAGGCATAATTATACTTTTTAGATATATACCAAGCCTATATTTTGGCCAAATGCCTAATGACTAAGTATAAAAATCCACATTTGGATGAAGCAAAATCACCATTGTAGTTTAAACTTCTGGAATAGAAGAATAAATCTGAAGTATTATCAAAACTTTATTGTTGTGATTTTTAATTGAAAATATTAGTAGATACATTTAAAATATTTATTGTAGAACATAAACAATATGTTCTCAGAATTCTCAGCTAAGGCTTACATATTCCTGTGGTCTTCAACTCTTTTTTCCTTGTATTCCCTAAAAGAATTTTATTAAGCATGTAACCCTTCACACATACTCGATTTCTAAAACTTCTCTTCACCAGTAAGATAACAAAAAGTGTATTATAAATACTGACATTAAAAAAATAAACTGTAATACAATTTTTTAAATGTATCCAATGAAATGTAAATACTGCAGTAATTTATTGCTTACCATCATCCATTTAAAACATACATGAACTCTTCTTTTACAATTTGGAAATCTTACATCATTCTTGTTTTTCCTTGATCTTGGATTTCCATTCTAATTCCCCAGATAATTTTATCCTGGTATTTTATGCTTCAATATTCTTTAAAGGTCACTCTACCATACATTACTGAAACTAAAGATAATTGAAACTGTAAAAGAGGTTCTTGTACCTATACAGTTCTGAGTAGTAATAAACTTTACTGGATCAAGTTATCATTACAAGTATTGTTAATATGTTCTTTTTTTTAACTAAATTTATTTTATTTACTTATTTATTTTTGACTGCATTGGGTCTTCATTGCTGCGTGTGGGCTTTCTCTACTTGTGGTGAGCGGGGGCTACTCTTTGTTGTGGCATGCGGGCTTCTCATTGCGGTGGCTTCTCTTGTTGTGGAGTCCTGGCTCTAGGCACGTGGGCTCAGCAGTTGTGGCACGTGGGCTCAGTAGTTGTGGCTCACCAGCTCTAGAGCATAGGCTCAGTAGTTGTAGCACACAGGTTAGTTGCTCCGCAGCATGTGGGATCTTCCCAGACCAGGTCTTGAACCTGTGTCCCCTGCATTGGCAGGCATATTATTAGCCTCTGTGCCACCAGGGAAGTCCCTGTCAATATATTCTTTATCAAAACTGTATATATATATATACACACACACATATATATGTATATATATATATATATATATACTATTATCTCAATGTATGTTAAACACAAGAAAAAATCTTATTTGACAATCATTTCTTAATGAAATTAAATGTATATTCCATCCTTCTGGCTCCCCCAATCAGACCATGTGTCTTTGGATGAATATTAATTGCTGCTAGATTGACACAAGCTTCAACTATCTATTTTTTTTGCCATGTTTTCTATTCTACTCTATTTTATTCTAGAATATTCCTGTCTACGTCCTATCCTATAGATGTAAGCACCAAGAAATCTTGTTCACATAAAGAGAGAGAGAGAGAAATGTGAGAAGTTCCGTTATAACATTATCATTTAAATATTTAGGTGTCTAATTTATAAGCCAAAGGTCACACTGTAATCATTAAAGAAGAATTTTAATTACCTATCAGCTGATAAATCAAATATGATCTCCTTAATTCTATTGAAAGCAAAGCACTGGAAGCTAGGTCACTTGCAAAAGGGTTTGGAATTCAGTCACTAGAGTCATTCTCATTCTCAGTGTCTCGAAAGAATGCAAAAAAGGCTCACCAGCACTTATAAATGGTTCCTAATTGTTACTGTCTTACTTAAAGACACCTGGCATACTCAAGAACTTTGGGGAGACTGAAATATTATTCATTTCAATATACTTTTGTCAATAGAAAACCTCATAACGTGCTTTTTATTATTGTCAAAACTATGACTTGCACATGTAGCTGATCAAATTTCTAGAAAGCATCTACCAAGAATCTGATTTGCAAAGCCGGGTGTCATTGTCCAGATAATCAGTAAAATTAGTTTTATGACCGATAGGAAAAATATTATTTCATTTTTAATTGTAATAAACTCACAAATAGGTATTCTTATGATAATTATCCTATTTCTGAGTTCTAAGATAAGGTAAAGAATTTTACTGGGTATTTGTTACCTGGATTCAACGTTTCTTTCCATGCTCTCTATTTTATTATTATGCAACTCTCAGGGGCAATACAAACATTGACAAGAGTTGAGGAAGGAAGAGGTGAGGCTTAAAATGAAAATTTTTATTATTTCTGCCATCCACCACCACAATATGAATGAGTACAGAAAATTCCAAAATGAGCCCAAAGTACCCATTTTTAATGTCATGCTTTTTTTTATACCAGAAATATGTTTAAGACAGATGGATGTATGAGGCCTACAATGGGCTTATGATTCCTTGACTTAAGAGACTTTGTGCAAATATCAATATTTTGAATGTCTTTTTGTAAAAGACAAGCAAGTTTTTCACTCCAAGATATATCTAAAATACATATTATAAGTAAATATTCATATATTAAAATAAATCCACAAGTCATGTCTTGATTGAATTATCAACATTATGATAGTGATCTTATATAATTATTATCTACAAAGATCATAAGATTATTGATCATTCACAGTTTTAGGGATTCCAAAATGATGTTGAAATGGGTTGAGGCCAAAACTGAACCTTAACGGCAGATTCTAGCCAAATGTCAAAGGTCAATGTTACAGTATTCCAACTTTTAATAGTAGGTAGCCACTTAACTCACATGAATGAAAATATAGTAATGAAATTCCAGTCATCGGTTTAATAGGCACTCAATAAATATTTGTTGAGTGAAAGAACAAATAAAACAAATTGGTATCATTTCTTGTCTAAAGTAATGTTCATATAATCAGGGAAAACATCTGGAAAAGAAACAATCTGAAATACAATATGGGAATATTCTAACTGACCTAAAAGCAGGATGACATAGCAGTTAAGAGAATAGACTCAATTGTCAAACTCCTGGGAATGGATCCCAGGTTCGTCACTTACTGTGCCATCTTGGACAAATTACATAATCTCTCAGTGCTTCAGCTCATATATAAAGTTGACTTAAGAGTAGCTCTCCAAGGATTAGATTACATTAGTTAACACACTTAAAAGTACTTAGAAAGTATCTGCCATAGAGTGAGTGCTATATAAATGTTCATTATTGTTAGTAAAACTGGCTTTCCAGTTTTTTATCTTAGAAACTCTTTTTTTGTGCAGGGGACATTTGTTGTACATAACTGATGTGTAAGATTCATGGTTTTGAGCACCAAGTGTAAATGACTGAGCCAAGAAATTCCCACACAAAGAGTAAAATTGCACACACCAAATCATTCACTAAAGCAAAAATTAATAGTCATAAAACTTGAGATGAACTGAAATGCTTAATAAAAATGAAGACACATGCTGTATATTGCCTTGGTAGAATCTATCTTACACATCTATCAAAATAGGAAGACTTTATCACAACATCAAAAGCTTTAATACTTACTGCTAAATGAAAAGGAACAAAAGCTAAGCTTTGACTATAATAATAGCATTAAATTTTGACATAAACTAGGAGGAGAGGAGAATAAGTAAAAGTGAAAAGAGTTGACTTTGTAATTGCCGATAATTCTGATACAATTTTAATTGTATAAAAAATTGATTTTTTAAAATCTCAAAATGAAGCTATTTAAAAAAAAATTCTATGAAAGACATCATTACCTTTGGACATATTTCTAAACTGTTACTTCCAAAGGAAAATATGTTTACAGAGCATTGAGCAACCGTGAGTGGGTGAGAATGGAGGTGTCCTTGTCACTTAGTGTACATTGGGGGAGGTACAGTTGGAATCACTGGCATAAGTAGAATGAAATTGAAAATCACATTAACACAAATGGGACATTCGCACCGA